AGCTATAAATCGACTCCGCTGATGGTCTGATTGACAATCATGAACCTCACCCTCTCACCCTCATTTACGACATTGCCCATGAGACTCCAACTGCAGCACAGGTACCACCACTCTCCATCATAATGCTTATAAAAAAACCAACAAAGAGTGATTTGATGCTATTTCCATCTATCGAGCGACATTTCTCTGCAGCTTCTCTTCCTGCAGGTACGTGAAACAGAGGAAGCACGAAAGAGAACCCGAGAGGAGATACGTCAAGAACGGAGCTACCGATTCACCGGCTCTCAACTCACGTATCCGAAGCTAAAGGGAACAACGCGGTAGACTCCCCCCCTCCTTTCTCACACTGTCTTCTGTCCGCACCTACGTATTGGAACCCCAAGACACTAATGTCCCCGTTTTATATCCCTTAAGTAGACAACAAATGACACATAAATATAAAATCGGCGCACAGAATAAGGACACGTTAAATAGCTTTCGCACACAACAGATCTCTTTTGTATCTTTGTTTTAGTATGGATGGATGTAAGAGCACCTCAGTTACAACATAACACCAACAGCCGTTACTGGGACATTCCAAATCCTCGTGAGTAGCTTATCAGAGAAGAACGACAAACAACTGCCGAGCTGTCCTAACATCTACACAGCAAGGAGGAAGGAGTCGAGTGAGCGAGTCTTACCGCCACGTTTTGGAGAAGAAGAAACGAGTGGACGGAGGCAAGCGCGCTGCCAAAGCGTTACTCGAGGTCACCAATTCCCCCTCGCTCTGTACTCCTCATGCTTTGTCTCTGTCGTTTTTCAGAGCTTGATCTCAATGATGTTACAGTGATTACACTAATATATTAACCAGACAGCTATACAGTTTCACCCTGTCAGAGGTCGCGCTATGAACTTAAACTGAAATTACTCTGAATAGGCCTACCTGTATATGTCAGTACATATGCGCCTTCAATACCGACAAAACAAAATAGCTAGTCAGCATAATCTCTCTCACAAGCGGTCTTCTAACAGTAAGAAAACCATCAATTTAGTGTACAAATAAGTTAATATGAAAATACACCATGTCGTTAATGGCTTGATTATGACTAAGAAACAGAATATATTTTTTCATATAAGTATTTCCTCTATTCGGATTCCGACTGGTATCTTGATTATATTGCGAATAAGAAAGCACACCCAGCCACTCCTTACAATCTCTTTGATTCCCACAATCCGAGCTCATAGTTTCTAGAGTCTCACAGAGTCTTACATATTAGACGAGATACATATCCTGTGACATATTTAACTGCTATTGCTGTGTTAACAGAGTGCCTTTTCATCATCCCAACACTATACAAAAAAACTTCAAGAGCTAAACAACGAGTTAAATATTACCACAAATGTTTTGTTGAGAGTGCATGTCAGAAACACGAGGAACGTGAGGCCACCATATCCGCGCACCAATTCTGTATTTACTGGTACATTGAACTAGGACGACTATCCAAACATATAGTGAACCTGCTCCACTGCAGTCTCGACGCACACCCGGGACCTGCGGCAGCAGCAGGGACTGGAGCACACAAGGTCACAGTGCTGAGACAACTGCAGGACGTCATCAAACAGAGCGACCAGACCCCTTGCCCGCTCGGTCAGACATAACCTCACTGTCACCAATGTCAACGGGTTCTTAACCTGTTCTGAATGTGCCTACAGTGCTCGATATTCTATCCTCCGATGATTTGAGGCAGTGATGAAACTCTCCTCTAATCCTTTGTGTTTCAGCTCTTCCCTCCACCAGGCGACGCATCCTCGTACTACCAGTCATGCAGCATGCAGACCGTGGCTTGAACGTCCACTAACCAACCTCTTGTGTAAGAGCAGAAGCTGTACGACCCGGGCCCAGCAGTACGCGCTCACGTTGAGACCGCAGCTGCGCCGGCACCCAACGTCACATAGATTTGAGAACACTGGTCCTCCAGCTCATCGTCACAGTAAAGAGCATCAGTCGGATCACCAATATGCAGTTTCAAATTAAAACCTTAAGGAAGGTATGTTCAGATTTGTTTTATGCCAAGAGTTTGGAGAGAAGATTGACCAGTATCACGATCTGTACAGTAAATATGAAGCTTGTGCCACTTAGCTTAGCAGAAGCAGCTGAAACAAGGGAACGGCTCGGCCCTAGCTCTGTCCAAATCAACAACATACCACAGGAAAAGACTAAGGAAGTCAAAGCACATAATAATGTTTCAGCACATAACCCAAATATTTATCTATTATTTTTCGATAAACTCTTGTCTCCTAAATAGCTAAGCTCGCTATTATGAGGCACAGCACTGTGCAAAACCTAATCTGGCTTGCTGTAGCTTCTTATCACCCTGCAATCATCAGTGGTATTAAGAGTGTTTCATATTCTGCATTGTCAGCCACGGCCAGCAGACCAAGGAATTGACAGTTTCCAACACGGACAGTCCTACCACGCAGTGTGGAACGCAGCAGCAGGAGACAGCAGAGACGCCGAGGCTCAGCGCAAGAGTGAGTGACTGCTGCAGATGTAGATGTTAGACAGCTGTAGTTTTATAAAGAGGACTTTGAGAAATCCAGCCTGTGGTTCATTTACTCATTTCATTGTTCAAGAGTAACAACAGTAACAAGAGCACACAGTGTTACCAAAGTACTTTCAACCGATCCAAGATCCATTATTCTGATGCCGACTATTCACATATTCTTGTCCTTTTGTCCTCCCCAGGGCAGGGACATAAGTCTTGGGGTTCAACAGTGAGCGACGACAGTGTTGGAGGAGAGGCGGGTCTAGAGTCGCCTACTGCCAGCTCCAGTGAGTGAGAGCTGTGAGAGCTGTGTTGAAACATGTTCACAGTAACACCAGGATATCTGAGAGATTACATTTTTCCACTTAAAGGAAAACACACAATGTGTGTGTGTGTGTGTGTGTGTGTGTGTGAGATGGTACTTAAGGTGTTTATTCATTTTAGGTGACGTCAGTAAAATTGCTCGGACGTCATCCACTGGGACAATGTCGTCCAATGAGGACGCAGATGAGAAAGACGGGAATATGACTTCATTTGAATCTCCAAGTAAGATTTACAGATTGTAATCACTGTTGATGTGACATTACAATAAAATGCAGAAACCCTGAGAGGCAAGAGAAATGTCTATTTCCTCATACAAGGTGATTTAGCCCGGTTAATCTGTCTAAAAAGTCAATTAAAATAGTGTTGGTTGGTGTAATATTCATACGACTAAAATAAATCATGTTCTCCTTAATGTCAGATAAGTGACCATTTTAAACACATTTCTCGCCACAATATGTTATAACTTGCTGAAAAATGGTATATATACTTAAGAAGCATTGAAAAAGAAAAACCAACCTTCTTTAAAAGGATCTCCAGTTATTTTTCTCACTTGCCTCTCCCAGCTTCCGTGATAACATGCAGTCCCAATATTACTCTTCAAATGGCTTTGCTGTGAATCTTGTACGAGTCTTCCGGAGTGTGTATGATGTGCGTCCTTCTCTTCAGACATGAACGGCATGGACCCTGACGTGGTGGTGTCCACCAGACCTTTCCGTAACGTCGGCCTCTCTAAAGCAGCACATACCCACCGGCTGAGGAAGCTACGCACTCCGTCAAAGTGCCGCGAGTGTGACAGCTACGTTTACTTCCAGGGGGCCGAGTGTGAGGAGGTGAGTCCTTTATTTAATAATGTAATCATCTGCTAACATCAGACCTGCAGAGAGAGACTCCCAGTGATAATCACACCGGGTTCTTCTCTGTCTTCAGTGTTTCCTGGCGTGTCACAAGCGCTGTCTGGAGACTCTGGCCATCCAGTGCGGTCACAAGAAGCTGCAGGGCCGTCTGCAGCTGTTCGGCAGGGACTTCTCTCAGGTAGCCAGCTGTGCCAGCGACGGCATCCCCTTCATCATCACTAAGTGCATCTCTGAGATAGAGAGACGGGCGCTCAAGATGAAGGTGAGGCAGTGAACATGTTTGTATTAAACCGAGCGCTGGAAGTCTTTGCCACTGACGTGTTTTAAACTGTCTGCTTCCTCCTTGCAGGGCATCTACAGGGTGAACGGGGTGAAGACTCGGGTGGAGAAGCTGTGTCAGGCCTTTGAGAACGGCAAGGAGCTGGTGGAGCTGTCCCAGTGTTCACCGCATGACATCAGCAACGTGCTCAAGCTTTACCTCCGACAGGTAAACATGCAGGAGTGAACACAAGAGCCTATAGCGAGACGTGGAACCATGGCAGCTTTCATAGTGGCAGGGTTTCAGTATTATAAAGCACAGACTAATACAATCACATATATCAAAGGTTGTGTTTTCAGTCTCTCTAAAATGTCTTCCTGTATCCGCCAGCTGCCAGAGCCCATCATGCTGTTCCGCCTGTACAACAGTCTGATGGGTTTGGCGAAGGAGAGTATGCAGGGAGAGGCTGACACAGCGGAGGGAGAGGAGGTGGAGTCTAACAGCATCAACCCGGCGGTGGGCAAGGGGCCCGAGCTGGTGGACCTGGGCCCCAACAGCGACCCCGAGGTGCTGGTCCTGGTGGACAAGCTGAAGGAGCTTCTGAAGGAGCCGCCCAAAGCTAACGTCGCTACGCTACGCTACATCATTCGCCACCTCCGGAGGTCAGTCTTTAAAAAAACAAAAAAAATGACATGAACACAATTGGGACACCATTTAGAAAAATACTCTAAAGTTATCTCGTAACATTTATTTGCCATTTAAGTACTTAATCTATTTTATATAGATTAAGTACTAGCTTTTAACAATATCTGTGATGCCTTTCAGTCTGTGGATAGCAGCTGGCATGTAGCTTAAATATCATCTGTGGTGTTTATTACCTCACTGTCATTCAACATTGAGAAATATCAGTTTTTTGCCATTTTCTTCTCTGCTTAAGAAACTGTTAAGACACTTCAAGTCTTGCTCCCTTCAGTTCATCACCTTAGGAGTTATTTTAATAGCTAAATGCTTTTTGAATGACGTTAAACTTTATCCGGATCTTGTATTAACTTTAAGGGGCAATCCTTACAAAACGGCTCCAAACTCTCTATATAGTTTTTCTTGATCTTCCTCCCTCCAGGATTGCAGAGCTGGAGGAGGACAACAAGATGAGTCCCAGTAACCTGGGTATTGTGTTCGGCCCCTCCCTGATGCGCCCCCGTCCCACCGGAGCCACCATCTCCCTCTCCTCTCTGGTCGATTACCCCCACCAGGCTCGCATCATTGAGTGTCTCATCGTCTTCTATTCATCCATCTTCCAGTCCAAAACCTCTCAGACACACAAAAACATCCGCTCAGATTCCTCCTCTGCCCAGCAGATGGGGCAGGAGGATATTCATCCCTCTGATAAGGTACAGAGTGTGACTTCCTGTTTCATGGTGCTGTAGATTTATGACGCCACGGGCAACAACTTATCATTCAGTTAATCCAAACCAGGTTGCTGTAATTATATTTATTCAACTGTATTATTACTGTATGACCCAGTAATTATATTAAAGCAATAATCTGGTTTTCAGCATTTATAAAAAATGTATTATATCACTATTTTATTTACTGTAATATACATATTGTCACATATTTAGTTATATATTCTGTTAAAAATATTTACTGATTTAACTTGTGTATGTTTATATAAATATTTGTATCATCCAATATGGAGCTACTGTTACAAAATCCAAGTTCCTCCCAGGGATTAATACATTGTTTCTCAGTCTGATATATGTGGGCTTCCACCTGAAGAAAAAGAATAGCCTCCTACAGCAGCTAGCATGACTCTTTACTCTTAATGTATTTAGAATTGAAAACTTTAAATCACTCATTTAAATATATTTTATAGTGTGTGACTTTGCTAGTTAACATAACTTTGTATACTAAGATGTATTACTTTTTCATGAGAAGTTTTGGTGCGTACATATATTAGACCCTCTGTGGTCACTAGGCAAATGTAAATTGGCTCCCAGTGAAAATATCAAAAGCTTGTCTTAAAGAGAGGCTGCTAATAAAGTCTGGGCATGACCTAAACCTGGTCCAACCCTCTTTCTGTGGAAATGCAAATTACAGAAGCAGTAAAATATCCGCTCATCCAGAGTTATGACCTACAGCTGCAAATAATTTGAATCCAGCTCACCCTCCTGCTTTGGTTGTTTGATTTATGATCCATTATAGAAAAAAAGAACCCTTCAGGTTAACTGACTTGATAACAATCTCTGCTTTAGGTCTGTGCTGCAGATGAAAAGATTGAGAGCGCTGCTGATGGAGAGGAGCCAAATAAACCAGAATCTGAGAAGTTGGAGGAGGGGTGTGGTACGTATTGTAAAACGCCATACAAGCATAATTGCATATTACGGTTGTAAATGAACAGAATTCCCCTGAATGAGTATACATCAAAAGTCATGTTCTTGCATCTTCATGGTCATTTAAATGTGCGGAATACATATGTATTTGAAAAATGTAATCTCAAAGTTTCTGCATTTGTTTATTTATGATCCGTTTCTTTCTTTTTTTACCCCTGTGGTACCACCGGCCTCTTTATTTCCATTCAGGAAGTTCTTTAGGGTCTCTGGGGTCCAGTGAGCAGCTCCCTGACTCCGACTCAGAGCAGGACGACAGCAGTCAGGGGGCCGCGCCCCCCCGCAGCCTGGTGACGCAGGAGAGCGAGGTGAGCATGGACGACGAGCCGCTAAGCTACAGGGACAGCCTGGACCTGTCGAGCCAGTCTGCAACGCTGACCGAACCAGAACCAGAACCAGACCAGGACCAGGAAGAAACCCCCGACAAAGTCGAGCCTCCTGCCCTGCCAGTCAGCGGACCCCCAGATGAAGACACAGCGACAGAGGAGGAGCTGAGCGTCTCTCTGGCCGAGCTCAACGTGAACCAGTCCAACAACAACAACAAAACCAACAACAACAACTACCCCTGCTCCCCCGTTCTTAGCTTGTCGGGGCATCCACTGTCACGTTTGTCTGGAACGAAATTACCCCTGACCAGGAACAGGGACAGCGAGCCAGAGTTTGTCTGATATCTTTACTAAAGTGTGTGAATGTGAAGTCTTTACAGGAGTGATTGGGTTTGTATTCGTTAAAGTCTTTACGTGTGTGTTGATCTATCCTGGCAGCAAAATGTCTGCACGCTTACTCCAGAGGTTTTGACTCAAGATGATTTAAGAAACTATTTTTGCAGCAGTTTGTATTTTTAAAGCATTTTACTCATTGCTCTTGCGTGCTTGAGGAAAGGCAGTTAGTAAGTAACATCACAATGTGCAGGAATTCAAAGCCAATGATCTTAAAAGTGCTGCTGGTTTTATTTCAGCACTAACAGTTTCAAAATAAATGTAGAAGTCTTTTTTATAAATGTCGCCTGTATTGCCTTGATTTGAATGTTTTGGTCTATTTTAATAAACATTTTATTTTACACTGGTTTTGTCATTTCATTTAGAACCTTGCTTTGATGTCTTGTTTAGGGAACGGGAAATAATAGTGAACTGGATGACGGCCTCTGACTGTTCTCATTCAGCTGTGTTCACTTCCCTGATAGTGGGGAGGGCAGTGAGGAGTTTATTACAGTGGGTGGAGGTTTTAAACTGCAGCATGTGAGGCACAGACTGTTCTACAAGCTTCAGGATACAGCGGCTACTGCATGGCTTTCAAAAGGAAAAAAAAGGTAGGCTTCTCAAATTATTACAGCACAAAGTAGAATTGTTAAGTTAATAACTTTTAGTTGTACAAAGGGATTTTTTTGGGAATACTTTATTTTACAAAGTCAGAAAATATAAGAAAACAATTTAAACAATTCAAAAGTAGAAAGATCGTCCCCGGATGAGTAATGAAACATCGCAGGTTTCCTTCACTGGTCCTCCAAAATGTTTATACAGGAGAATATCTGAAAAACAAGAGTACTTTACATTTGATTCAAAGCAGCTACTTCCTTGTGGTTCTCACACGCACATAATGAGACTACTGTTGCGACTGAGCATGAACTGTCCGGCTGACGTCTACGTCCTGTTTTTTTTTTTCCTGAGCTGGGATGTATGATACCTCAGTGAGATGACATCCCTTAACTCCCAACTTCCATCAAAGTAATAAATACTATAAAAACAAATTACGTATGTGTGGAATAAAGTACAACTCAAAAATTCAGCCTCTGCATGAGTATATATGCGCTGTGTATCATCAAAAGGATTTTGTCAGTGTGGCGGTCTCAACAAGCTGCATATTTGTCCATAACACTCACCTGTCTGTCACTGCACCAGTCTGTATGTGATGTACCTCCCAGCTGTTTCACTGGGTCTGATGATCTTTACTACCTGGAAAAGTCGTAGAAAGAAAAGCAGAATGATTGTCATGGTGCCAGTCTATAGTTTTGGCCACCATTATCAGTAGTATTACAAATCTATTTGCACAGGTAAATGATGCGATTTGGAAACAAGCAACAATGCTAGAGGAAATGTATAATAGGACCAACATCGTAGAAAAACCAACTGATCATTTAAATGTCTTTCACACAACATGTCTAGTAACAAGTAGTGGTTATAAAAATCTATTTGTGTTATCACTCTCCTTTAGTGAAAATCATTTTACCAAAGAACCAACCCAAGATCAAATATAAAGCACCATGCAGTCACATAATGCTGATAATGTTATGCATTTAAAGGTGACCCATCATGCTAAATGCACTTTTGTACGTCTTTTATACATGAATATGTGTCCCCGGAGTTGTCAGGAAACTCACCAAGTGTCAGAAAACACAACCCTCTCTATTTTCCTCCATACCCAAATCTCTTAAAAAGGGGCTGCAACGGCTCTGATACAGACTGATACAGATTTGAACACTTCTGTGACGTCACAGAAGTGGCTCTACGGCTATTGGGCCAACTCCACCAATCAGGAGGAGACAGCCACGGACATTGCCGTTGGAAATCAGCCCATGAAAAGACAGTGTTAAATTGAGCGAAATGAGGAATGGCTAAAATGCATGATCTGTTTGGTATTTTGAAAAATAAAAAGTATAAATATGCCTTATATAGGTATGGTCCTACACTATATTATTAAAATATAGCATGATAGGTCCACTTTAATAAAAAGGGCCTCTGGATGAGTTACCTGTCCTCTCTTCAAGCCAAAGTATCGAGCCACGGGGTCTCCAGCCTGGATCCTCGGCAACTGACTTTCCTTTAGTTTACTGAGACAAAACGTTAAGGAAGTCAAACAAACCAAACAAAGTATCTTTCTTTAGGTCAATTACCTGCCATTTTATACAATTGTTATGAATAGTAAGTACTCCAGAGTCAAATTTTCTGCCGCAAATCTCAACAGTGCAGTGGGTGAAAGGATACTATCTTAGCAGAAGTTCAACCACTTCCTCTTTTAGCATAACGATGTGCTCTGGAACAAGCTGAAAAACAGAAAAGAATCCAGAAAGTAAAATGGTATTCTACATCAGAGGCATAGTCTGTTAGAGTTTTAAATATGGTGTCAAAGGGATTGCAATTCAGTGGATTCATCAGTCTGTTGTTTACCTCGTGCTCTGTGATGTTAATGAGCAGCTCCTGTTGAAGGAACTGTTCCAAAATGTATTTGGGGGCCATGTCAACTAGAGACTGTAGGGAGACATTTCAATCCACATTAACAGCAACATCAAAAAAGTGAAAGGTTGAGAAGAAAGTCACAGAATTAATACAAGAGAGGTTCTGCAATCTTTCTGTTTTTCAAATACATTTTTGCGTCAGTTGTTTAATATAATAATATATAATGTGTGTGTTTACCTGTTTGGCTGATGGTGTCATGCCTATCTGAACAACAATGATGGCTCGTGTAATGTTTTCCTCCTGCATCCTCTGACAGTACATCTTAATCGTCTTGATTCCAACCTTTGGCTCCTCTACAAAGTGAAGAAAAATACGACTTAATAATATCACAACGCTGAATGTTTCAAAGGAACAACCATCAATTCTAGATTATATACTAGTCTCATATTTTTATACAGAGGGCTTTTTATCCCCCTAGTATTTAATAATAAGTCTTAACCTACCAGGAAAGAAAATGAACATCTGGTCTGTGGGGTCATCGTTGTGCGCCACCAGCACGGTGAGGTCTGTGCGCCGGGGCCGACCCTCGCTGGGTTTGTCTCCAAACTGACTCTTGAACTCGTCCAGCGTCTGGTCCAACTCGTCCTGAGTCACCAGGTAGCCTCTGTCATGGCACAGCTGAGGGGGGACAGATGAAAACATCAATTAATTGAGTGTATGGTACAAATCATAATTTTCAAGAGCAAAATATTTCTAGTCCATGTAGTTCTCCGGATTAGAGATCCGGATAGAGATTTAAAATGTTCTAATGTTTCCTACATGGACAACATTTTAAATGTTTCCAATAGCTCAAACCTGTAGTGTTAAACACACAAAAGTACATTCATCCACTTGTTCTGGTCATGTGATCACATAGACATTTTGGGAAAAGGATTCATCATTTTACATTTAAAACTAAACTTTCTTTCTAATACGGACACCAGATTATTTTATTTCTAGCTAATTCAAGTTTATCTTGCTTCAGTGGTCTGCTCAAATCCCCCCATGATTGGCAAATATAAATCATGGATATGGGCTTTTCCTTCTTCATATAAATAGACTTAGGATCCCAATAATGAATCGGACTAATTCCAAACACTCTGGAAAGCCTTGTTTTCTTTCAGCAACTCTGAATCAATGGCTGGTTGTTTTATTCGTAAAATGTGATATGTATGTATTTCCTGTCATATTCCTATACTTCTACTACCGTCTGTATTTCCATTGTATTTTCATGCAGCTTCGTTTGTTGGTTTAGCAAGGAAACTCTGTTGTGAAGTAACCAGAATAATCTGAAACTACAACATATTACATATGTGGGCCAGCTACTTACACTTACTATTACTTAAAACAAAATGAAGATTTGTTGACCGGATTAAAGGCACTTTGACAGACAGAATTGTGCTTGTTGAAACACAATTCTAACTAAATGTGCAAAGCAAATCAAACTTATTCAGGAATTCAGAGAAGTGACACTGATCTAAATATCTAAATTCAAATAAAACTCAGTTGTTTCTAACATCACAGAGCACCGCAGCTAAGCTACATGCTAAATCATGAAGCTAAACCAAATTTGACATCTAACCCACCTGCATGATGGTTTTACGGATCTTCCATAGCCTGTATGTTTCCTCTTCATCATCCATAGTATCTCAAAGGTTTAACTTGTTTGATATTTTATCAAAAACAATTGTTTATATTTGTTAATTTATCCCTTTAGCTCCTGTGTACATGCGACGCGCTATGCACGTTACAGTCTAACCGACGCAAACTGATGACGTGTAAACTGAATAGCAGTATGTGGGTGGAGTTTAGCATAAAGACTACGTTTCTAAATTAAACTTGTTATTTGTATTATGTGTCGAATAATACATATACTATAATAATCATTTTAACGACACAAAATGTCATCATAATAAAACAAATTAATTGTCAGTAGTTTTGTTTTCAGTCTTCTGTTTCCGGTGCAGTCTCAAAACAAACTGCGGGGCGGAGGGGAGTGATCAACAACGAGAGCAGCTTTTCAGATAAATGTGGCCTCTCTGATAACCAAGATGAGGCCATTATTTATTATTTTGACATTCGGAGCGGTGGCGAGTAGTGGAGTACTACTGGCGATGGTACTTTACTTTGTTTTATCCACAACGGTAACGTAAACCTTAATGGGTGTTGGTATGTAGCCTATGGTGCGCGTGCTGCTCTGATTTCCTATGCGTAACAGTGATGCCAGGCTATTATCGACACATGAAACAACCGCTGTCCTCCTAATTCAAATTATATATAATCAATATAACGAGTGATATATCTGGTAAAGTTACTGTCTGTAGCCAAAACGTCATTAATCTGAGCTCCTCGTTGCTTTGCATAACATAGCCTTTAAATTCATTAACGTGATTTTGCAACCATAGAGTGCAACTAGCATATGTACCTACATATTACTTCATTAAGGTTTTTAGTGTGAGAATAATAGTTCAACAGTTCATATGACTGAGCGTAATTCGTAAGATATTGGATGTGTTGCAGCAGCACCACCCATCATCTGGGGTCAGCTGATAGGCTATCAGTATGAAGTGCAGCAGCATGACCAGTCATTGGAAGGTTTCATAACACAAGGTCGATGCTCGGCACAGCTGAAATGTTATGTTAGTATATGAGTATTTCAATCAAATTGACTTTACCAGCATCATTAAAACAACAAGTCCCACAAAATATTAATCAAAGAAGGGAACTCTCTTTAAAAAAACTGATAAAAAGTGGAGTAGAAGAATAAAGTAGTTTAAAAATGAAGGTATTTAGTGAAGTACAAGTATGTCAAGGTTACATTTAAAGACAGTTGCCTACTTGAGTAAATGTACTTCATACGGTTCAATCTTGCAAATAAGTTTACAATAAATACTTGTTAACAATGCCAATAGTATGTCAGAAGGGGGCTCCTGGCTGTGACTGCTTAATCTTATCATACAAATAAAATGTGTAATATCTCTATTCTCTCTTTTCGTGTATTCCAATTCACAATAGGATGATTAAAATACAAATTCCTTTATCTTTCAAAGCCTATCTATTTATTTAATTTTCATTGATATAGCCTATATTTTTGGCTCTTTAGTTGTATATTTTGAATCATACAGTAAATTATCCGTAAAGATTTTTATGGAATAGGGCTTATATTGTGTAACCAGCTGGATTTCTACCTAGAAAATTGTGAAATAATCTTTAAAATCAGATAAGTGTGTTGCTCAACCACTCAGCCTGTTGTGTAAGGTTTTGCCTGGTCATTCTTCTGGTTATTATGGATTGGTTTTTGCAGGAAAAATATTCTGGAAAAGTCCATGGGCAGGTACAGAGCAGAGTTAAAAAAAAAAACGGATTATTTAAACACAACATTTCTTGTTTTGCTATGATAGATAGAATAAACAAGTGTTTTGGGCTCAGCCTTGTGACTTTTATGAGATTTAAGGGGTTATGTGTGCTTATTTACTGCTGCAAAAAGCTGTTTTTCATTCCAATGTTAATCTCATAAGTAGTTTATGTAATGTTAAGACTGTTGCTCTTAACGCTGGCCACAAGAGGCTCAACCACACATGGCTCTCTTAATGAGTCTGAGGACTATGAGAACCTTCATTATGAAGTTACCAAATGTTGTGGACTGTGGACCGCAGTACATGTGTCTGTCTGACGTAGAGGTTTTAGCCAACAGCACAGAGGGACCTATTGGAGAATCAGAGCTTATCAGTTCGGTTAATGATCACCCGCTCCCTTGACTTGAGGACACTGCATCGCGTCCTCATCCTCAGTGGTTGGATTGTGGTCTGACAGTGAGGGTGTAGAGAACATTACTCAGGCGCTTTACAGATTGTATCGCTTTCTGCCTTCAGAGGAGCGTACTGAAGGGCAGTCATGCGCCTGTTAGGGTCCACTGTCCTTTTCTCTGTCCTGCTGCAGGCTATGGTAAGAAAAAAGTAGGACTGAAACTCTGGATTATGTTGCTTTTGGAAGATGGCACGTTTTTTCCAACTGAATTGATAATTGAAAGTGTCTTTTTTTATGTTGTGTAGGATGTTCTATTATTTAAGATATTAGTATTTAAATATTTGCATACAAAAGAGATTCGTCTCTTTTTGCTGTCTTCACGAATACATTTTAAGGGGAAATGCGTATGTCGCTGATATATTTGCTGGGTCATATTTCTTGTTATTTGATATTCCTTAAGCAGCATAAAAGTGCATTTTGAAAATGAGCTCCCTTAACTCAACTTGTTTTCCTCCGCACAGTCTGTTCCGACAGAGGACTGGCAGAGGGCCACGTCTATTTACGACTTCTCAGCAACAGATATTGATGGGAATCTGGTTTCCCTCGAAAAATACAGGTATGTCTTTTTATTTTCCCTAAATGTACTAAAGCATACCATAAACATACCATCACTAAATCCTTATGCACCTGTTTCTTTGTGTTTTCAGGGGGGATGTTGTCATCATCACCAACTTTGCCTCTAAATGAGGTAAAACCCCAGTAAACTACTCTCAGTTTGCGGAAATGCACGTCCAGTACGCTGAGAGAGGTTTACGCATCCTCGCCTTCCCTTCCAACCAGTTTGGAAACCAGGTACGAAACACATCAGAGTTTTATTAACGTGCAAAGCTAGAAAAGGCATTATTACACAAGCTGGAGATCTGAAAATGTTACATAACTGGGAACAGTAAACAGAAAGGTCACATTGCAAAACATGGAATCCAGCCCTAATATTTGCAAAAGGCCTTTTCAACAGAAGGGGACATCACGTTGTAGTACACTAAACCAACATTTGCTTTTTCTTCATTGGTTTAGCAGGGCACTTTAACCTGCGTGGCTTTTGACTCTTGCTGACACGTCTATTTCTCTCATCTTGTTTTACTTTGAAGGAGCCTGGAAATGAAACTCAGATTAAGCAGTTCGCCAGTTCCTACAACGCTCAGTTTGACATGTTCAGCAAGATCGATGTGAACGGGGACACTGCTCATCCTCTGTGGAAGTGGCTGAAAAGTCAGCCCAATGGGAAAGGGTTCCTGGGAAAGTAAGTAGTGATTTTATAACATGTATACAGTATTGATGATGACATGATACACTTATCTACAAACTGATTGAATTAAAACCAGATCATATTAATCAACTATTGATCATCATAGTCTATTTTTTTGACATGTGATTTGTTTTCATTCTTGCAGCAGTATCAAGTGGAATTTCACCAAGGTAAATATCAGTCATTTTATATAGACGATACAATGGTTGTTATAGCTAACATTTAATCCTATATTCCTGTAATGTACATCAACGTTAAACAGGTGCCCTAACTATATAGGGTAGATAATACGTAACAGAAGAACTCTGTGAACTTCACAGAGTTCTTCTGTTACGTATTATCTACCCTATATAGTTAGGGCACCTGTTTAACGTTGATGTACATTACAGGAATATAGGATTAAATGTTAGCTNGCAGCGCTGAACAGTCTCTGCTGTCAGTGCTTGTGATTTGATCTTACTCCGCATATTTGTCCGGGTGTTTTGATTTCAAGTGGTGGAGTATTCCCGAAGTGGTGAAAGTCTTTGCAGTTACACCCCCTCGAGAAATGTCAGCTGAACACGTTTTACAAATCGCAATCCGCGCCTCTTTCTCTGATATTTTTAAATATCTCCAAGCGCCAGACATGTTGAAAAGCCGAAAGGGCCTTTTTAATCATTT